ACATATATTTACCATATTTCTGAATACTGAGTGTATCTGAATGGAATTTATTTTTTTAACTTGTAAAATATCAGTTTTATGTATGAATAATTGCGATCTTACTACTTTGAATGTTCTTCAAACTCTTCGATCCATTCAATTGGAATTAGTCCTTTTTTTCGATGGCAACTTGCAAATGAGTTTAGTCACATTGATGAGAGAGCAAAAGAGGGAGTCTCCTCTCACTCAATCAATAGAGTAATGCTATTTAGCGGTGTAGTCTAGGTGATATTAAGTGATAGGTGGAATTTAATTCTACTTTTCATTTAGCTTATTATCTAACGTCACCTAAATTGAAATTATAACCACAGTGTTTTCTTTATAGCATTACTCTAATCAATAATGTCCAAGGAGTTTCAATACATCCTATTTATTGAAAGATGTGTAAATATTTCTTACTCAAATTTACTCATATCAACTTCGACTGGTTTGCGAAAAAGACTAATTTCAGAAAGAATAGAAGACTAGGTGTCCAATAGGAGTTGAGATCTGTTATTCAATTTGGTGTTCACCCAATTAATTGTTGACATATCATTTTTAAATTAACATGTCATATCAAATTTACTCATATTAACTTCATCACTAACCCACTAAATTGATGACATGTTAATTTAAAAGACATATCAATAATTGATTGGATAGACAACAAATTAGACAACAAAAGTTCGACGGCAAATCTCAACTCGTCCAATAGAAGGCAACAACATGTGGATATTTATAAAAGGGTTTGAAAATTTGAGACAGATGTGAATGGATATAGAATAATTAATTAGTATTCTATATGCATTTATGTTTTTTTTTTTTGGTAGTTCATGATTTCAAGACTTGAAATCACTATTAGATTGACATAGGAAGTGTAGTAATATTTGCAGTCGTTAAAATGCAAGTGTTATATGGAAACAATTAGGCAACTCAACTATTTACTATGGCATGAAATATACATATCGCTGCAATATCGTGTGATTAGGCTGGGTATCCCACTGCTTCCTATTGGTCCTAAACTATGGTAGTGATCTTGTAATGAAATCTGATTAGGCTGCAACTTATTTCGACGATTTTAGGCAACTAAATCCATAATGCATCGTATCTTCAAGCACCGATTTGTTGTACCTAAATCACAATTTTCAATTGCGATAAGTTATTTAAATTTCTGAATAAAAAAAATACTCCGAACTTTGTTGCAGCTCACGTGCAATGCATGTGTTACATACTAATAATAAAAATATGACGACAATATAGCCACCATTATTATTCATATTTTGAGAGGGTAATGAATTATGAGTTGCCATTTAAAACAAATTCTAGAATAAAGTAAAATTGAGTATAGTATTCCAATCTTCAATTTTGCTCGGTTCAACCCCTCCTAACTGTGAAGTGCGAAACATGCACACCATGCGGCTGGTGCCACTGGAGAAACTAGTTCAGTTTGAAGCTCGGAACCCTCAAGACTACTACCCACAAATTTGGAAGTGCGGATGCGGTGGCAATATATGCATACCGTAGTTCTGCTATGTTGTGTAGTGCATGTGCGAAGTGTGTGCTGCCAAAATTGGATTAAAATGTGTTTAGGAAATAAGACTCTATTAGTGGAGGGGTTTCACTGGATTGAGAAAGGTGGCATGACTTTTGTGTAGCTTAATTCTGGAGTGACTTTTGAGGGAAAACTGCTTCATTTTCTGTGTTCTTCGTCTTCTATCACGTAACCCTCATTCAAGATTTCAAATCTTCATCTTCTTGTTTTTGGTTTTGTTTTATTACTTGGTGTAACATGAACAAGAATGTTCTTTGGTTCATTGGTTTCAGAAAGAGTATATATTAGGTTTGTGTGTTCTTGGTGAACAGTAAATCGAAGAATTTTTTTGGGTACAAAAGATAAGTCTATAGTGAAATTATCTCCATAATATGTACATCATTGTATCCTTGTCGTCGTTTTGAGGTTTTATAGTGTAATAGGGTATTATCCACTTTTGTGAATGCTCAATAGAGGATTAGGTGTTGAAAGTGGTCACCAAACGTCTGGAGCATCTATCAGGATTAGGTGTTTAAATTTTTTTAATAGCAATCATCACTCGTCAAATTGTCACAGATTCTGTTGAAATATAGCATTTATTTTTTATTTTTCTAACAATAGATAAACAAATTAGGGATGAAAATATTCAAGGTGGTGGTTGTAATTCATTTTCTTGTTAATATAGCCATTTATTTTTACTACTAATGAATGTCATTAAAATTACAAACACTCACTTCCTCTATTCAAGTAAATTTATTTTTTAAGAAATCAAATTACATATTTTTTTAAGATATATTCAAAGTTGTTTGATGCAGCCTGCTTCTATAGAAAGAAATAGCATAAACAACAAAAGGAAGCATTCTGTCAATTTAAAAATCCAAATGTTTTCGATTAAACAAATTGTTGGAATTCCCAAAGTAATACACTTTCATAGGGCCGTATATTCTTCGTGTTGATCAACGATAATTACAATAACGGGTAACCCTGTCCTATATTTAATCCCGCCCATATATGTTTGCAAGCAAAATAATTGTCTTTTCAACATAGTTGCATCCCTTTTTGGAAGACAGTTGAGTCTTCCTATTTTTTGTTCCATTCTCAAGTCTCTGAACTTATGAAATCTCGTTTCTGTAGTGGACCAATTTGTTAACATACCACCGAGCCATTTTTTATTAACATAATGACACCGGGCCTTTATCGCAGCGCATGCTGCAGACTTTATTTCTGGTACCAACAATTAAGAATTGCTTTCCCCTGCTAGCTGCTTATGTTTATGGTGTGTATTAGTATGTTACTTATAATTGTTAAGGTGTTGATATGCATATTAAAATTTGAATTTGAATGTGAAGATGTAGCTATTTTGGCGTTTTAAACAACTTACAATATATTGCACTGTATTTCAAACATCAAATTGTTATATTAACTCACAATTTTCAATTGGTCCAATTTATTTAAATATCTAAGTAAAAAAGTACTCCTAAATACGTGCACTAATCTATATCTATAATATATTAAATATTACATCAAATGAAAATCAGTTTTTGGATTATTCTATTCTTATTATAATTTAATTATTTCAATAATACCTTACTTTTCGTTTTTCAATATATATATATACACACAAGCACGCGCACACACACACACATATATTTTAGTGATTATATAATTTATATCCTTACTATCATTCAATTATTTCAATAATATTTTACTTTTCTTTTTTTAATACGTATTTAATTATTTCAATGATACTCTACTTTTCGTATGTCGGTGTGTATTTAACTTATTAATCATTTGAACAATTTAAACAATATTATCATTAATTATTTTGTCAACTATTTAGTTATGATGAATATATATTTGACACATTCATTACTTTACTTTTCGTTTTTCAATATATATTTCATTTATTTAACCATATTTGACATATCCATTACCTTTTCGTTTTTCAATATCTAGTTGATTTAATTAATTAAAACTTGTTATAATAATATAATTATTTAGTTATGATCAATATACATTTGACAGATTCATTCCACTTGATTGAATAGTAAATTAAATTCATTAAAAAAATTTGAAAAAAAAAAGATGAATATTTTTAGAGTTTCCTCCCAATTGATTCATTCAAAGAATGTTAAAATAAATAAATGGAGGGATATAATGCCTATCTATAATAAATATATCAATTGATATATTCAATGTATATTAAGCAATACGAAGAAAGGATGACATTCATTGGATGTTCAGTTTAAATCAAAAGAGTAAATTGAGGAACTATTTTAATTGACTTCGTCAATTATTTAAATTGTTTTCACATACTGATTTTTATTTCATTTGTGTCAAAATTTCATTCCACATAAACAATTTGTATTAATTATTTTTTATATTCCCACATCTTACAATGTTAGTTTTATATCACCTATAAAATATTTCAGCATAACATGCAACTCACGTTTAAATATGACTAGTTATTAAAAAAATGTGACATCAATATAGCCCCCATTTTTATTATTGCATATTATGAGGGTAATTAATTATGAGTTGCAATTTAGCTTGTGTTTGATACCCATTTTGGAAAAAGAATAAATTCTGGAATAATGATTAATGGAAGAATGTATGATTAAAAAGTAAGGAGAATTTTTGAGTTTATATGTAATATTATTTTATTGATATAATGTGTGGTTGAAATGAAGAAAGAAAAAAAAAAGAGAAATAGAATGGGTGTCAAACAAGAATAAGCATAAAAAAGTTTCAGGGAAAAAAAATTGAAGAGAATACAAATGTATAGGGTAAAAGAATAGGTCAATATCACCCGTTATTGCTAGTACAGTAATAGAATTTTCAAGATCAATTGAAAATACAGAAATTAAAATGTTTTTTTCTCTCTATAAATATACAAGAAAATTAAGTTGGAATACTTACACGAGTTTCCAAATCTTATGAAACTTTGTATAAAAATTTTATTGCACTAGAATGCTATACTGATTAACAAAACTCGCACTACAAATCACCTCCAAGTCGGTTTTAACTTAGCTGAGGTATAAAGACTTGTCTCGTATTCAAACGGGACTTCTAAATAATTTCTCCTTCGATCTCTTCGACTGAATCCTCGTGTAGAACTTGGCACAATTTCTTCGACTTCTTGAGCTAAATTCGATTATGCAATGCATATGTTCTCACTATCAATCAGAGATCGAACTCTATCAACATTTACATGATCATGAGGGCAGCATAGACCATCAAAAGTAGAAGAAAATTCATTGTGTTTATGCCGTGTCGACCTGGAATACGAAAATTCAGATGTTAAAAAAGATAATGCAAACGAGAAAAACACCAAACAGGTATGCATACTCAACAGAATGACCAATGAACCAGTAAATTATTTCTCAATGTAGTTTCTCAGCCATTCTAGTGGTTGTCAAGTGAAATTGCTGAAAGTACTACCCTCTTAAATTAATGACAAATACAGTTATGCACCCATAAAATATATATAATTTTGATCATCGTGTTTCCATTAGTCGTGTTAATAGCATGAAATATATTGTGAAAGGACACTCTCAGAAAAGGCGCTGATATACGAGGTGAAGATTGAGAAATAAGGGGAGAAGGAATGACATTAAGTGTGACAGTGATACTCGACTTGATCCCGAATTTGTAATTTGAATAGGTGTGAGATATATCGACGAATCTTCGTAACTCATCTAAAAGTTTACAAAAATTGATCCCAAAACTTTGTCTACTTCATGTTAAAACCACCTCACAGATTTAAGCTGTTGGAGATTTAAACACACTGATTTGGCATGTAGGAAATAATAACATGTTACCTTTTTTACATTGATAGAAGGACGACAGAGAAATGGCACAATCTAAGGATTACTGGTGGCAGAAAAATGAACTTACTGCTTTGTACAGATGCCGCTGCAGGAAGTGCGGGAATCTTGACAGCTGCAGTCAGAAAAAGTTTGAATATAAGTCGGTATTTATATTGAAATGGGGAAGAATTAAACAGCAGAAAAAAGTGAAGTATTCAAGTGGAGATACTCTTGTTGCACGACGAATCTGCTAATTGAGATGTAGAAGGCCAAGGTGCTGGAATGTTATCGTTCAAATCACAGACGAAGCTAACCTCCGACGATTTGTCTAGTACTACATCTGATGGCAAGCTTGGCAAAAGGCATCCTGACTCTATTTTCAAACAGAGGACAAGGGAAAGTAAGATAGAGAGAATCAAACTCTGAAAAAAATTTTGATTCTCTCTGTAAATCAAGTGCCTACGTAAGCTAGGTAAGAAAGATTTAAAAAAAAATATGAGATGATAAAAGTGGCAACTTCTGCTTCTGATTTTGAACTTTGAAATATATTTTGTTTCCTAAAGAAATTGTTACCCCCATAACAATGTCATGTTTGGCTAAGCTGTGAAGAAGAAAAGTACTGTTTTAGAAATGAAGTAAAGACCTATTTCTAAACGGGAAGTATATCAACTAAAAAAATAAAAAATAAAAAATCTAGAAAAACTTGAGCATGTTTGGCAAAAATAGTTACTTAAAAGTAACTCTTAAGCTCAGCCAAACATGTTTATATCATCAAGACTATACTGAGCAATGAGGATATTCAAGAAAGCAGTTGTACTTCTGTTAACATGGGTTAAACTGATACAGGTTTCTAATGATTTACTTGTTTAACCAAACTTAGATGTCAAACTAGAATCAATTACATTTTAAACCATTTAATATTGAAAGGCACAAATTTATAATCGAAAATTTTACAAGTCTTCTAGAAGCAAAAAGTTCGAATTTTTCCCTATGTCAGTATAATATATATCATGTCATCGAATTTCAAATTCCGAGTCCAAACCAGAGTGATTTATTTCCAACACTGTCATTAGCTGTGAAGAAATAACTCAATAACACAAAACTAGCACAATAAGTTTAAGTTTTTAGATAAAAATTTAGAAGTATTAAGCTGCTTAGAAGTAACAGATAATACAGCTATATGCACCCCTAAGATCCTAAATGAAAATAGATGGAATAAAAAAATAACTTGAAGATATAGATGAGAAATTATTAAAGTGAAAAAGTCGAAAAGTTACCTTTTGTACCTACTGGTGTAGTCAAACGATGATTGCCAGATCAGATCAGCAAAGACAAAATGAAAATCCTTTCATATATTAGCATCATCTGAATTTACTTTCTGTTTTTGGAGGAAGAGCATGTTTGGCTGAGCTTAAAAAGTTTACTTATAAGTAAATAAGTAATTTCTTTTTTGATTAAAGTTGGAATTAAGTTTACTTATTAGACAATGAGGTAAGAATTATTTTCAAAATAAGTAACTTATCCAAACATGTTTGAAAGCATGAGGTTACTTAAAAATGTTTTTACTTATTTTGAAGCTTAGCCAAACATGCTAGATATTTAGACTGGCAGAATCAGAAAACTAACCTTGAAGGGAGAAGTCCTTGAGGTTAATATGACATAGGCTATAAACATTTTTGGTAATGTTTGCTTTCCGTAATTTTACTCCAAGCGAGGCAGCACAATTTAAAGCCTGCAAGTTGGTGATGAAGCTCTGCCTTTGCAGGAGAGACACATAGCTCTCCACGCCGTTGCAGCATTCTGTCTGGTTACTTATTCCATCATTGCAGCCGTTTATGACATGGCTCATGTTGGGGAAATTCAGAGGGCAAACTGAAGCAGCAATAACAGAGAAGCACGGGAATTACAATCTCATCGATGAAATAAACAAAAGATGAAAAAGAAAACGTAAAGTTATACTTCCTCATACCCAAGTCTAAACAGTGGAATATACAAACTCAGAAATCACAAAGAGAACTTTGGTGTTTATGTTGCACCTTTATTAATTTTGCAACTAGACAGTCCTCGAAGAACTTCTTTTGCATGAGAAGGATCAAGTTTACTAGCAAGCCACCTGAGGACAATATTTTTGCAATCATTAACCCTAGTTGAAAGGTCAGACATCACGTGGGATCCATACAGGCTCACGAGATTATAAGCCTTTTCAGCAAGCTTGCTAGAAGCTTCCACTATTGCATTCTGACAAACTTGCTCACAACATTCATTCAAAGTGTCAATCTTCCCACAGGCTGCAAGAAGGTTAGCTGAATCCACTGTGCTCTCAAACTCAATAACATTGTTAATTGGACAAGAACCTTCCGTAAGGTTTGATGGGCGAATAGGGCATATCTTAAATAGATCCTCATTGGCCCCCTGACCCACCAGAATCTTCTCAAAATCTGAAAGGCAATGCGTTGCAAGAGTCCCATTTAGAGCAAGTGAATCAGTATCTTTACTAGATTGACCTATCAGAATGCTTAGCGTGGCTTCCAATTGTGGGCAGCACACAACATTAGCTAGAAATGGTGCAAATGCAGCCATACAATCAATTGATGTCACTCGCATCATGCTTGTGATGACAGTAAAGTTCAAGGTACAAAGTCCTGCACAAAGACAAGTAAATTGAGTACATATGCAAACTAATTCCATAACTCAAATTATTTTAACAAATCAACAATATTTGAGACAAACCAGATAACTTGGGGACAGTGCTATTCGTGAATGGTATCAACGGAGAAGGTGCAAGTAGAGGAAGAAAGGGCTGAGGACTTGAAGTAGGGGAAGTATTGGGCAAAAGTACATCTTCTGTTTTATCCTTAATCATGGAACTTTTGAGATAATTCAATGAGGTGCAACAGGATTCCCGCAAGCCTGTACAATGTTAAATGATAAATGCCAATATTGAAGTCTGAATGACGAGTTTTCCGTCACTTTTCATGAATACTGGAATCATGAAAGCTGAAATGATATTCAAGCAATGTGATATAAATGCAGAAGCTTCCAGAGTTAAAAATGATAGTAAAGTAACCACGAAGCCTAATTTCTCTTTTATCGACATTGATGCTCATTTTCAGCTCTGTCCTTTCACTCTCAGCAAAATTTCACTTTTCATCCCATCTCTAAACTTGTAATTCATGGATTGTAGAATTATAGAGCTATATTCAATTGTCAAAGATATATTTCACAGCTTTTTTCATCAAGTTTCTAAGTTCTCAACTTAAAATCCTGACAATACCTTACAGAAAATATTAGGAATTATGCCGTAATCTCAACTACGAGAGCAATAATACGGATTTATAATGGTTCAACTTAAATGTGGGAGCTGTATCCACTTGCTAGTGCAAGTTCTTTGCAATGAAGTAAGAAGACTCAAGCTCTCACTCTGTGCCTCACCAATAAACTTTCCCCTAAAACATAGTTTTTTTATGAAGAACACGATGGACACTTTATCTATTAAATATACCTCTTAAGTGTATAGCGGATTATAGAGGCCAACAATACATTTCCTGCAGGAATTAACCAGCACGGAACATTATACCTAAGAAATAGCATTATCAAAACTCAAGAGCCAATGCATCAAAACTTAGCACAGTAAACCAACCAAATTCAAACCTAACGCATCTTGAATTGAACTCTAAGCACAAGATTACAATTTTTTAAAACCTATTAACCAAAACCCACATAGCCCCAAAAAGAATACTAAAAACTCAGCTGGTTTCTTGAAAATCCCAGCATTTTATAAGTAACATATGGAGCAAGAAACAAGTACAAAAAAAATATAAAAATAAAATAAAAATCTGTACAACTAAGCTATAAGTACTTACAGAGAAGAAGCAGTAGCGCAATTGGGAGATAAAAATTGAATCTTTGAGCCATCCCTGTCGTTGCTACTTGCTCGATTGACCTCACTCAAAGCTAAAAAAATGGCAAATAGGCCAAGAAAAAATCTCAGGAATACAGTTAGTTTTAGGAGAAAAGGTTAACTTTTATGTTCATGAGTAGAGCGAGGGGTCCACTGGTGGTTTGGGGCAGCCCGCAGCCACGAATGAGCTGCTCAGCTCAAGTGTGTGGGTAATAAAAGGGTAATCAAAATGAACGGAGTTGCTTTGCCACACCCTCCCTCACAGAGTCAAATGGGCAAATCAATTAGAACAAACTAGTTTAATTGAATCAAAATTAGCAATACTGGAATCCCCACTTCCAAGAAAATATTATTAGCTTGTTTGAGTCTTTAATGCATTTTGAATAGTTTATTGATGGGAATGTATGGTTGAAAGATAAGGAATAATTTTAAATTTACGTATAATATTTTCTTATTGAAAATTGTGTAATTTTAAATTTGCGTATAATATTATTTTATTAAAAATTGTGTAGTTGAAAGAAAGAGAGAAAAATAAATTTTAAAAAAAAATGAAAATCAACAAGGACTATATAAAAATCTTAATTAACTGAGACAAAAACCATGAAGTAATGTCAACTGCAGCTAAGCGTGCATTTAAGTCCCAACCTACTCTCTGTCTGCACAGTTTCGTGACTCACATGAACGGCACGTGAAACTCCAAGGTATTGCCGCTCAATTTCTGCTCGTTCTGTGGGCAGGCCTGGAAAACGTGTCAAATTACAGCACCTTGATACTCCGTGAAAGTTGAGTTGGTACGGGTCAAAATTTTCGAACCAAATTGGACCCAAATCGGACTCGAATTGAGCGATTCTTCTAAGTTAAATATCCGAACGGATATCTAAATCGAGAACTGATGGGTTGGATTTGATTCCATTCTCGGTTCTAGACCAAGAATCAAATAAGAACCGAATTTTTCTAATTTTTTATCTTAAATAAGTCAAATTATTTTATTTTTTAAAATAAATTGCTAGCTAATTAATTTAGTCAAAATTCAAAATATGATTTTACTATTTCTAATTTTCAGTCAATTCAACTTAATCAAATTGACATAGTTTTACCCAAATCTCTTATTTTATTATAGTGTCGTTTCTAATGTTCTATTATTGTGAACTAACCATCTTTGTCTCTCTATAATTTTAATAGTCAAATGACTCAAATCTATGAACACTCGACAAAGAGAGGTGCAAAAGATGTCATGAGATTGGACTACATTATTTTGTAATAGTTAAAATTGAATATGTCATAGTCGAATTAATATAACGTTGTTATAATATAAAAAAATTAATTATTGTACAGAACACCGAAACGGAATAGAACCGAACCGAATTGAACCGAACCCGAACGGTTCCATAATTAAATTTAAACCCAATGATTCAATTTACTAAATATCCGAAAATTTTGGATTCCAGACCATGCCTAGCCCTAGTTGAGACCAACTTGGATAGATTTACTGGTATAAATATTAGGAAAATTTGTAGTAGCGGTCCCTAATCTTTCACTTTTTTTT